GCATGCTGATCTTCTGTGCAGTGTGGATCACCTTCATCCCAGCATATGTCAGCTCTCCTGGAAAATTTACTGTGGCTGTGGAGATATTTGCCATTCTGGCCTCCAGTTTTGGACTGATACTGTGTATATTTGCTCCAAAGTGTTTCATCATATTATTTCAGCCAGAGAAGAACACTAAAAAATATTTAATGAATAAAAATTAAATGTAAAATATTAATAAATTAAATTTAGGATGAGATAGTGACTATCATAATTAGTACATTAAAACACAACTTTTAATAAAACCCTACTTGAAATAAAATCCCTATTTTCATCTTTTACTACTTATCCATAAGGGTCATGAAAGCAATAAATCAGTGAGAGAAACCCCAACATCCCTCAGCCCTGCAACACTTTCCAGCTCCTCCTGTGGTACCCCAAGGCATTTCCATGGCAGTGAAGATATATACTGCCTCCAGTGAGTCCTGGGTCTGCCCTGGGGCCTCTTACCAGTGGTACGTTCTCGGAAAACCTCCAAAAGGAGGTATCCTAATCAGAGTCCTGAACTACCTCAACAACCTTCCTTTAAAGCAAAGGAGCAGTGGCTCTACTCTGAGCTCCAGCTGTAAGGAGCTCCTCACCCTAGATAAATGGCTGAGCCCAGCCACCCTACAAAAGGAAGTTCATCTCTGCATTTTTCTAGGAATTTGTTCTTTCCATCATGATTCAAACTTTCAAGGATTCAAGGCTCTTTATTTGTCATACAATCCACATGAACGTACATGTGGTGGAACAAAATTGTGTACACAAGGTCCCAGTTACATCTAACAAAAGTATAAAATGCAAAAGAAAAACAGAAATAAGATCTAAGCTATGAACTAAGAAAAATGTTAACTACAAATATGCTAAGCACTAGTGGTACAAAAGCATTATGCCGAACAGCAGCATGAACATGAGTCTGTGTGAGCAGATGATTGTGAATGAACAAATGAAACAAATCAGCAGCTTCATGATATGATTTTTCACAGTGATTGCCCTGGTCAGAGATTCATGAGTCTAACAGCCTCAGGGTAGAAGCTGTTCCTCAGTCTAGTGGTTCTACACTTCATGCTGTTTCAACCTCCTGCCTGATGGGAGTGGGGCAAAAAGTGTATGTGCTGGGTGACTGGGGTCCTTCATGATGCAGGTGGCCCTCTTCCTGTATCTGGAGGTGTAGATGTCTATGATGGTGGGAAGGCTGATTCTAACAGTCTTCCGTACAGCCTTCACCACTCTCTGCAAAACTTTTCTTTCTGCAGCTGTGCAGCCTCCATGCCACACGTTGATGCTGGAGCACAGGATGCTCTCCACTGCACACCTGTAGAAAGAAGTGAGGACTGAGCTTCCCAGACCCGCTCGTCTCAACCGCCTGAGGAAGTAGAGTCTCTGATGAGCTTTCTTGATCAGGCAGGTGGTTTTGTTGCCCCAGCTGAGGTTGTTATTCAGGTGAACACCCAAGTAGATGTAGCTGGAGACCACTTCCACCACAGATCCTCCTATATTCGAGGGGGGGGGGGGGTAGTGGTGGGATGTAACTAAGTACAAGTACTTCATTACTGTACTTAAGTACATTTTCATGTATCTGTACTTAAGTTAAACGTTGGCACTTTCGACTTTTACTCCACTACATTTTACATTAAATATCTGTACTTTCTACTACACTACATTTCTATAATGCGTTGTGTTACAAGTTACATTCATGCTGCAGCTTTTTGATTTGTTCGTTATTTTGAACGTAACCAATGGTGAGAGGAGAGTTGGTCCATTGAATCACTGCAAAGTGAGCAGGTAACATTAAACCCACCTTCAAGAACATCTGGGCCTATGACGTATATTCAAGTATATACGTCATTGAGCTGGGCGCACCATCAGCACCGCTAACACACCCAAAATAGATTCCACCGTGGAGAGTCATCCAGAAGATGTGAATCACCCATGGCCTTATTGAACAAATAATTGCAATACTATATGAAAGACTCTTCAGTACAGCAGGACAGATTTTCTCTCCCAAAAGAGCCAGATTGGACTAAAAAAAACCTTGAAAACCAATTTCTTCTGAACATGAACAAGAATTTTTTATTCCAATGTTAAAATGTGTCAGTTCATGGAATGCTAGGACAGGAGACAGAAGTCTCCAATTGGCTCTATACTCAGATCCAAGTTTTGAAAATGGTGTCAGGAAGTTAAAATATTTTTCACTACTGACCCATTACAAGGTTGACTAGATGGTATTTTTTAAAAATAGAGTTGATGACAAACTGGAGTTGAAATGTCAGTGGAAATGATCAGTGCCTATTCCTTTGTTAGGTGTGACTAATGACCCTTTATTCAGGCAGACAACTTTTACTTAAAACAGAGAGTCAGAGTCAGTCAGTTTCTTTATTTGTCATTCACACCACATGTGGTACATGTGGTGGAATGAAATTATGTCCACAGGGTCCTAGTTACATCCAACAATTAAATGTAAAAGAAAAACAGTAATAATTTCTAAGATATGAACTAAGAAAAGAGTTAAATAAAAATGCCCTAAGCACTAATAGCATAAAAACAATACACCAAACAGCAACACATGTTTAAATGTGTTTACTGCAGTTAAAAGTATACATTGGTTTTTCTTTGTGTTAAATAAAAACTTTCAAATGTATAATCATTCCTCTTTCTTATTTTGCTTATTGACATTTAACTCTGTAGGTCATCCCTGAACTTCTGATGCACAGAATCACAAGTCCAAATGTGAACTGTGTCACAGAGTATAAACACAATAAAAGCATGCATTATCTGCAGCATTGTTCATTAAAATGGCACAAGAGTATTAATGTATTACAGAAAATATCCATACCGTAGGCACACTTTAGGATATTGTATACCATTGCATTAGGTAATACATTCAGCAAGTGCTTTTACTTTTAATACTTAAGTATTTCTAAAAGCAAGTACTTATTTACTTTTACTTAAGTAAACATGTTAATGAGGTACTTCTACTTTTACTTGAGTACATTTTTGTCTGTTTATTTGTACTTTTACTTAAGTACAGTGGGGGGTGGCTGTGGCTGAGTGGTTAGAGCAGTCGTCCTCCAATGTGAGAGTTGAGGGTTCGAAACCACCAGCAGTCACATGGAAGTTAAAATATTTTTCACTATTGACCCATTACAAGGTTGACTAGATGGTATTTTTTTTAAATAGAGTTGATGACAAACTGGAGTTGAAATGTCAGTGGAAATGATCAGTGCCTATTCCTGTGCCTAGAGTCTCTAATGAGCTTTCTTGATCAGGCAGGTGGTGTTGTTGCCCCAGCTGAGGTTGTTATTCAGTTGAACACCCTTGTCCCTGGGCAAGACACTGAACCCCTCATAGCCTCTGATGTGTGTCCCATCGGTGTATGAATGTGATCTAAAAGCTCTGATTAGTCTCTTTAGAATGATTTGTTCAATTAGCTTTGTAGAGATCTAGTAGAGTGCTGTATGAATGTGTAGATGAGGACACAGATTGTACAGTAGTGTAAAGTGCTTTGAGTGTCTTGAAATAAGAATAAGACTGTAAGTACAGTCCATTTACAGTGTTTGAGTACTTTCTTCACCACTGTGGTATGTGTGTTTGTTCCTTCTGAAGTCCACAACCATCTCCTTCGGCTTCCTCACATTGATGTGTAAGTTGTTTTTCCTGCACCAACTCTCCAGGTTTTCCACCTCCTGCCTTTAGCTGGACTCAACGTTGTTTGTGATGCATCCCACCATCGCTGTATCATTTACAAACTTTACAATATGACAGCCTGGATGAGTAGGTGCATAGTAATACATGAGCAGAGTGAACAGGAGAGGGCTCAGCACACAGCCCTGAGGGGAGCCATTGCTGAGGGTTATGGTTGAGGAGGAGAAGTTGTGAAGCCTCCCAAACTGTGGTCTGTTTGTTAAGAAGTCCAGGACCCAGTTGCAAATGGAGGGGCTTATTCCTAGTGTGAGTAATTTGTCCATCAGGGTCTGGGGGATCATGGTATTGAAGGCAGATGTTAAGTCCACAAAGAATATACGGATGTAGGAGTCCTTCTGCTCCAGTTGGGTGAGAGCAGTGTGGACCACAGAGGAGATGGCGTCTTCTGCTTATCGATTCTCGCAGTATGCATACTGGTGAGGGTCCTCATTGATGTTGATGGTTGTTTTCATGTGGGTCATGACCAGTTTTTCAAAACATTTAGCGACTATCTGGGTGAGGGCTACTGGCCAATATTCATTCAGACAAGTCACTGTAGAGCTCTTCAGGACTAGGATGATGGTGGCAGTCTTCAGGCAGGTGGGAAGTATTGCCAGGGTGAGTGAGGAGTTAAAGATGTCGGCCAGTACCTTGCAGAGCTGATCGGCACAATCTTTAGCTGAGGTCATGCTGATAAACTTCTGGTGGTGTCAGTTGCTGTGTTCACCAGTAGGTTTTTTGCCATGACTGGCATTAATGACCTTCAGGCCATAGCTCCTTGAAGCGATATCTGCATTAGAGGCCCAAAAAATTGCCCATTCCATGTCCCCAAATTCCCTCAGACTCATGAAAAACTCTCCCAGAGCTGTGAGTTGGTCTGCACAAACATGATGCTCCACCAGACATTTCCAGTTCACCCTTACTATGCGTTTGGATTTACCAGATCTGTCCGGCAGCTTCCCTTGCCACCAGAGTCAACTCCCCTCCAGGTTATCAGTTGACAGCATTGCCTCTCTATTTACTCACGTTTCCAAGACATAGGGCCACAATTATGATAACATGGTTACAAAATTAATCATCAACTTTTGGCTTGAGGTTGCCTGGTACCAAGTACAATTATGGACCATCCTATGCTTGAACATAGTGTTCATTGTGGAAAACCATATCTAACACAGAAGTCCAATAAGATAACACCTTCTGTTCAAATCAAGGAGGTCCTTCCTACTAATGACCCTTTTCCAGATAACTTCATAATTTCCCACATGGGCTTTGAAGTCACCCAATTGAACATGGTAATCTCAAGAAAACACCCCTTCCAGGATACCATCCAGAGTCCAGAAAAGATGGGTAATTTGAACTGCTGCATGGTGCATAAGCATAAAACAACAGTTTGAACCCTCTGTCCTGCAGCCCAAAGCTGCAGAGGCAACCGTATTTTTCACCAGGGAAAATTCCAGTATGGAGACATATAGCCACAGGCTTGTGAGCATCCCCACACCCACCTGATGCCTTTCTCCCTGGGCAACCCCAGATTAAAAGACAGTCCAGATTCTCTCAAGAAGTTGGGTTCCAGACCTCAAGCTGTGAGTAGTGGTGGGCCCAACTATATCTAGTTGGTATTGCTCAACCTCATAAACAAGCTCCAACTACTTTTCTGCCTGTAAGGTAATGTTACACCTTCCTAGTGCTAGTCTATGCTGACAGGAATTGGCATGTTACTTGCCTGCCACCTGTCATATATATACATATAGTACCTGACCTGAACAATTCTCTTTCTAGGTGGTGGGTCCGCATGGAGGCGGTGTCCTGTTATTCTTTGGGACTTGGCCCAACTAAGCCCCAGGAGACAAGGCTCAACCACCAAGCACTTTCTGGTGAGCTCTTTCACCCCAAGCCTGGCTCCATGTAGGTGCCCTGTTTTCCCTTTTCCAGCCAAGCTTTCCACATGTGATTGATGTTTTATTCATAAAAGGTTTTGATTGTCTTTCAACCTGACCCCTCTCGCGAGGCCTGTTTGTCATACGAGAACCTACAAGGGCGTGATGCTTCTAACAACATGCCTCCAGGATCCACAGGGGTACTCAAACCCCTCCAATGCCAGAATGCTAGGTGGCAATTTTGTCGAGGGGGAAAACAAAGCCTCTGAAGTAAAACTGTACAAAATAAGCTGATCAGCTTTTGGCCACTAAAACAGATTGCTCTTTACATAAACTAGGCTTCAAGGGCATCTAACCAGGAAATCCTCAAGGTTTGTCTTACCTGTGAGGATAAGCACTGGACCAGCTCCCTTAGGTGGTCTTGTCTTGCCTGGCTCACCTTGCAAACCCCTCCACCAGCCCAGTTTTGGATGGACACTTGGTTTTTGGTATGTGTGTGAGACATCAAGGAGTTCAGGTAATGGTGTTTGGTTATTAATGTTTTCAAGTCCTTATTTCAGTCCAACACTCACCAATCATCCATGTGTAATCAACATACCTTTTCTTATTTAGCAACAAAACCTCCTAATGCTTATGCTCCTGGTTAGGCATTTTTGTCAGTTTTCCTTCATTATTATTATATTATGTTATTATTATTCATTTATTATTCATTATATCAGTTTTCCTTCAATATTATTTTTGATGTCCACCTGTTCGTTTAATAAAGTTTCAAGTTTGGTCTAGTTTCTGTTTCCTTCCTTTCCTTTAATTTGGGTTTAAATTTCCACTTTACTTTTACTATGGCATACAGTATAGTTTACTTTGTTAATGTCAGTTCACAAACAAACAAACAAAACAAAAACACAAGTATTGATACTTTTTAATTTATAGGTTGCGTACAGACACATTTTCAACTTCAAGTTAAAGTATCTTTATTATCATTCACATCACATGTGGTACATGAGGTGGAACGAAATTGTGCACTCAAGGTCCCAGTTACACCCAAAAATGGCAAAAAAAGTATAAAAATAAACGGTATATAAAGCTGTAAGATATACACCAATATATACAGTATGCTAAATGAATGCTAAACGGTACACTAAAAGATCTAAGATATACATTGACAATGTAATGAACTGCAATGTAATTTTCAAGTCCACATAAATTCACATCAATATAAACTAAATCAAATACAAAAGCGAATTAAACTTCTTTGAATCAGTCCATTTCAAAACAAATTCAAACCACCTCATTTTAGATCTGAAACATTGTTTATACAATAATTCATAATTATATTTAATTATTAAAAATACATAGACAGATGTATTTGTTGCTCTTGTCTGTAATACTGGTCAAACTGAATTGTTGTGAAACCAATTCAAAAAGATAGACAGACATGTAGTGGAAAGTATATCTACAAAGACCCAGTAAATGATGAATTCAAGAATTACCTGTGGGTGTTGTGTTTCTGATTAATTGTATTTGACGTATCATAGAGGAGGTTCACAAACTATAAAAAACACACTCAAACACAAATACCGACTCTTGAGAAATGAAGATCAAATTTGGTTTTGCTGGCCAGAGATTAGCTGTGACACTGTTTAACGTGATCACTGTTTTTCTATTGGGTGGTTCTCTAGATGGTCTGAAACAAACAATGGAGCCTGTAGAGGTTCTGACAGGTGCTGGTGTAAGTGCAGCGAGTTCATTGATGAAATGTACACTACAGAGTACCCCTCGCTTACCTGCATTTCTAATGGATGGTGATTTTCTTATTGGAGGTGTTTTTTCTTTACATTACAAATTGAATACAGTGATTTATAATTATATCACCAAGCCTGAACCTTGGAAATGCACAGGAAGGTTAGTAAGACAGAGAATGTCTGAAATGTTTCAAAATTAAAAAAATCAGACTTGAAGACTTTTAAAAATATGTTTCAATTATTTTTTATTATTTGTATTTATTTATTTAATTAATATGTTAATTTAATTTAATCAGACATTAGGATAAAGATTTAAGAAAAAAATGCATTTAGTTTTAATTTAAATAAACATAATTTTGTCTCCTAAAATGACAAATATTAAAAGGCTTGGCTGAGATTTTTATGTGCATTTTGTAAATTTGATGGATCAATGTTTAAGAAAATTATAGATTTAATAATTTATTTTAGTTTTTGATTGCAGCATCAATTTGTTGTTAAAACTGAAACAACTCTTTCTGTGTTTTTTGTTCACTGGCTCATTACTTTTTATGTTTTTTATATTTTATTTTTTTTAATTATTATTTATTTTGATTTTAATGTCAAAACTCCTTAATAATTCAATGCAGTCTAATAGCCCGAGAACTACGTTTTACTCGCACAATGATGTTTGCTATCGAAGAGATAAACAACAGCACAGAGCTGCTGCCAGGCATCAAACTTGGATATCAGATCTATGACTCATGCGCTTCAGTTCCCATGGTTGTGCATTTGGCATTTAGGCTATCAAACGGCCAGGATCCAGTGTTTTACAATGGGAGTAATTGTTCCCAATCTGGACTGATGTTGGCAATTGTTGGAGACTCTACATCCTCATCATCAATTAGCATATCCCGCATCATTGGGCTTTTTGACATTCCTCTGGTAAGTTGCCTGCATTTAAAAAAAAAAAAAAAAAAGATAATATGAACCCAATAATTTTACTGGTTAAAAGATGGGTGTATATATATTTTTTCAATACTCTTGCATATAGGTGAGTCACTTTGCCACCTGTGCCTGCATGTCAGATAAACAGCAGTACCCAACTTTCTTCAGAACAATTCCCAGTGATCAGTTTCAAGCTGATGCTCTGGTCAAGCTGGTGAAACACTTTGGCTGGACTTGGATAGGTGCTGTCCGCTCAGACTCAGAATATGGAAATTATGGCATGGGGTCTTTTCTTGATGCAGCACAGAAAGAGGGGATCTGCGTGGAGTACTCTGAAGCTTTTGTTTGGAGCGACCCTCCGAGCAAGATTCAAAGATTGGCTGATGTTATTCGCAGGTTTCTAATTCACTTCATATTTTTTTAAACCATTTACTACTTTTAATTGTTCCTTTGTACTAAGGTGTATTGATTTGACAAAAGCAAAAAAAAAAAAAAGTGTAGTAACAAAAATGATAATCAACAATTTCATTGTATTGATTTTTTTCCCCTTATTTAATATGCTTATTTGCATCAAAATGTCACAATTTATATCAAATATTACCACCATGTTTTAATTAATGATACATATTTTTCTTTTCTAAGTTATACTAAATAATATAAATTATACAAAAATCTATCATTAGTTTATATAAATCACATATTTTCATTGTCTCTCCAGATCAACAGCAATGGTTGTTGTGACATTTATAGCATCTGCAGATGTGAGGGTCCTGTTAGAGGAGCTGGCTCGTGAGCCTCCACCACTTCGTCAGTGGATAGGAAGTGAGGGCTGGATCACTGACCCTTACTTGATGAGATTCAGTTTATGTGCAGGGGCCATTGGAGTGGCCATTCAGCAATCCGTCATCCCAGGGCTGAGAAACTTTCTGCTTGATCTCTCTCCCACTGACGTAGCTGCCTCCTCTGTGCTTACAGAGTTCTGGGAGGATGCATTCAACTGCAGCCTGACAAAAAGTGAGAAGATTTTTACAATGTTTTTAATTCTTTAAAAGTCCATCAGGATATGTGTTGCTGTTTTTTGTTCCTTCAATTATTTAGCCGTTGTGTAATTTTACAGCCTTACATTTCACTTTATTAACAACAAAAACCGAACACTGTTGATATTTGCTTAATCTCTTAACTATTTTATGCCTTATTTTGGGTATGTACAAAGTGATACATAGGTCACGTATTTAACGTCAATTGCAAGTTCAGTAACATAATTATCTACAGCCCTTTATGGGCCATTTTAAGGAGGGTTGCCTTTGACAAAAAATTGCGTCTGTCTCTAAATGTTTTAGATGCTGATCCAAAGAAAAAAGTGTGTGATGGAAGGGAAGATATTAAAACACTCAAAAGCCCATACACTGACATATCCCAGTTAAGAATTACTAACATGGTGTATAAGGCTGTTTATGCAATAGCTCATGCCATTCACAATGCTGTGTGTCAGGAAACAAATTCTACAATTCAGTGTTTTAAAAACATCAAATTAAAGTCAAAAAAGGTCAGTTCATATTCAAGGTGATTGAATTTAGTTGGTCATTGATCTTGTAACCTGATTTAATTATTAAGTTTACATGTCATATAATAATTATTGTTATTATTATTATTTATTATTTATTATTATTATTATTATTATTATTATTTTCATTTATGTCTTTAAGGTTTTATCTGAACTGAAAAAAGTAAAATTTTCCAAAAATGGTTATCCTGTATCATTTGATGCTAATGGGGATCCTGTAGCATTTTATGAGCTAGTCAACTGGCAGAAAAGTGAGAGTGGAGTTATTGAGCTTGTTACAGTTGGATACTATGATGCATCACTGCCAAAAGGTCAGGAGTTTCAGATCAACCGGAACATAACCTGGATGCATGGTGGCTCACAAGTAAAGATCATATTAACTTGCAAAAATGTTCAGAACAACAGATACATTTACTTTGCTAAACCATCTTTTTTTTTTTTTTTTTTTTTGCTTGTGTGTGACAGGTACCTGTGTCAGTGTGTACTCAAAAATGTGCTGCAGGAACTCATAAAGTGTTACAAAAAGGAAAACCCATCTGCTGCTATGATTGTATACCATGTCCTGAAGGAGAGATCAGTAATACAACAGGTAACATTAAAAGTTTGTTTTATGCATATTGACATCAATAAATAATTAAGTGCTAACAATCATTTCTAATTCATTTTTTAGATTTGTCTGACTGCTTGTCGTGTCCCAATGAATTCTGGCCTAATGCAGAAAGAGATTCATGTTTCCTTAAACCTGTAGAGTTTCTGTCCTTTGATGAAGTTCTGGCAACCATCCTGGCTGGATTATCTATTTTTGGAGCCTGTCTGGCCATCATAACAGCAGTTATTTTCTTTCGACACAGAACAACTCCAATTGTCAGAGCCAACAACTCTGAGCTGAGCTTCCTGCTGCTCTTCTCTCTGACTCTGTGTTTTTTATGTTCATTAACTTTCATTGGAGCTCCCTCTGAGTGGTCCTGCATGCTGCGGCACACAGCTTTTGGGATCACCTTTGTTCTCTGTATCTCCTGTGTTCTTGGAAAAACTGTAGTGGTTTTAATGGCCTTCAAAGCTACACTTCCAGGTAGTAATGCAATGAAATGGTTTGGGCTTCCACAACAGAGAATGACTGTTCTGTTTCTTACATTCATTCAAATTATAATATGTATTGTTTGGTTGATACTCAGCCCTCCATTCCCAGTGAAAAATCTGACTACATACAAGGAGAAGATCATCCTGGAATGTGCATTAGGCTCTGCTGTTGGCTTCTGGGCTGTGCTCGGATACATTGGCCTGCTGGCTGTTTTTTGCTTTGTGTTAGCTGTTCTAGCTCGAAAACTACCTGATAATTTTAATGAAGCCAAGCTGATAACCTTCAGCATGCTGATCTTCTGTGCAGTGTGGATCACCTTCATCCCAGCATATGTCAGCTCTCCTGGAAAGTTTACTGTGGCTGTGGAGATATTTGCCATTCTGGCCTCCAGTTTTGGACTGATACTGTGTATATTTGCTCCAAAGTGTTTCATCATAATGTGTCAACCAGAAAAGAACTCTAAGAAATATTTGATGAACAAAAAATAGTTGTAAATTGTTAGAAGTTAGGAAACCATTTTCAAGATGAACACGGCCTTTTCAGGACTCTCTTGTAAATGAGTCATTGTGGTTCAATGGGATTAACCAATTTAAATAAAGGTTGAATGAAAAAGAAGGCACAATGACTTCAACAAAGATTTCACGTTTTAATTTCTCTCACTATATACAGGTCCTTCTCAAAAAATTAGCATATTGTGATAAAGGTAATTATTTTCCATAATGTAATGATAAAAATGAAACTTTTATATATTTCAGATTCATTGCACACCAACTGAAATATTTCAGGTCTTTAATTGTTTTAATATTGATGATTATGGCATACAGCTCATGAAAACCCAAAATGCCTGTCCCAAAAAAATTAGCATATCATGAAAAGGTTCTCTAAACTAGCTATTAACCTAACCATCTGAATCAACGACGTAACTCTAAACACCTGCAAAAGATTCCTGAGGCTTTTAAAAACTCCCAGCCTTGTTCATTACTCAAAACCGCAATCATGGTTAAGACTGCCGACCTGACTGCTGTCCAGAAGGCTATCATTGACACCCTCAAGCAAGAGGGTAAGAAACAGAAAGAAATTGCTGAACGAATAGACTGTTCCCAGAGTGCTGTATCAAGGCACCTCAGTGGGAAGTCTGTGGGAAGGGAAAAGTGTGGCAGAAAACGCTGCACAACGAGAAGGGGTGACCGGACCCTGAGGAGGATTGTGGAGAAGGGCCGATTCCAGACCTTGGGGGACCTGCGGAAGCAGTGGACTGAGTCTGGAGTAGAAACATCCAGAGCCACCGTGCACAGGCGTGTGCAGGAAATGGGCTAAAGGTGCCGCATTCCCCAGGTCAAGCCACTTTTGAACAAGACACTGCGTCAGAAGCATCTCGCCTGGGACTGCTGCTGAGTGGTCCAAAGTTATGTTCTCTGATTACAGTAAATTTTGCATTTCCTATGGAAATCAAGGTCCCAGAGTCTGGAGGAAGAGAGGAGACACAGAATTCACATTGCTTGAGGTCCAGTGTCAAGTTTCCACAGTCACTGGGGTGCCATGTCAGCTGCTGGTGTTGGTCCACTGTGTTTTATCAAGGGCAGGGTCAATGCAGCTAGCTATCAGGAGATTTTGGAGCACTTCATGCTTCCATCTGCTGAAAAGCTTTATGGAGATGAAGATTTCATTTTTCAGCACGACCTGGCACCTGCTCACAGTGCCAAAACCACTGGTAAATGGTTTACTGATCATGGTATTACTGTGCTCATATGGCCTGCCAACTCTCCTGACCTGAACCCCATAGAGAACCTGTGGGATATTGTGAAGAGAAAGTTGAGAGGCGCAAGACCCAACACTCTGGATGAGCTTAAGGCCGCCATCCAAGCATCCTGGGCCTCCATAACACCTCAGCAGTGCCACAGGCTGATTGCCTCCATGCCACGCCGCATTGAAGCAGTCATTCATGCAAAAGGATTCCCGACCAAGTATTGAGTGCATAACTGAACATGATTATTTGAAGGTTGGCGTTTTTTGTATTAAAAACACTTGTCTTTCATTGGTGGGATGAAATATGCTAATTTTTTGGGACAGGCATTTTGGGTTTTCATGAGTTGTATGCCATAATCATCAGTATTAAAACAATTAAAGACCTGAAATATTTCAGTTGGTGTGCAATGAATCTGAAATATATGAAAGTTTCATTTTTATCATTACATTATGGAAAATAATGACCTTTATCACAATATGCTAATTTTTTGAGAAGGACCTGTATACATTTTTTTCATCCATGCCATTCATTTATCCATCATCTCTCCTGTGTGTTCTGGGTCCTCCTCCCAGCTTAATAAACATCCTTTAGGCGACATCCAGAGGGCATCCTTACTAGATGCTTGAATAACTGTTACTGTCTTTGTTGTGGAGGAGCAACAGCTCTATTTTGAGTCATCCATCCATCCATTTTCTTCCGCTTATGCGGGGTCGGGTCGTGGGGGTAGCAGCCTAAGTAAGGAGGCCCAGACGTCCCTCTCCCCAGCCACTTGGTCCAGCTCCTCTGGGGGAATCCTGAGGCGTTCCCAGGCCAGCTGAGAAACATAGTCCCTCCAGCATGTCCTGGGTCTTCCTCTGGACTTCCTCCCGGTGGGACGTGTCTGGAATACCTCACCAGGGAGGCGTCCTAAACAGATGCCCGAGCGACCTAAACTGGCTACTCTCGACGTGGAGAAGCAGCAGTTCTACTCTGAGTCTCTCCCGTATGATCGAGCTTCTCACCCTATCTCTAAGGAGAGCCTAGACACCCTGCCGAGAAAACTCATTTCGGCCACTTGTATCCGAGATCTCGTTCTTTTGGTCACAAACCAAAGCTCATGACCATAGATGAGGGTGGGAACGTAGATCGATCGGTAAATTGAGAGCTTCGCCTTTTGACTCAGCTCTCTCTTCACCACAACAGACCTGTACAGCGCCCGTTTCACTGCAGACGCTGCACCTATCCACCTATAGATCTCATCTCATCCTCAATGACTTTTTTAAAGATGAGGAGTTGGATTTTCTGTTCGTCACAGAATCTTGGATTTCTGATGGTGAGTCCAGCGCCCTAGTGGAACTACTTCCTCCGGACTGTGTATGTTGCAATGCCCCGCGGCCATCAGGTCGGCGCGGGGGGGGGGGGGATTATTAACAGTTTTTAAAGCAAACTTTGCGTGTAAACAGTTGTCCATCCCGGTGTCCCGCGCCAGCTTCGAGCTGAGCGCCTTTGAACTTGGACACTCTCCTCCGGTCCTGTGTGCGCTCATCTACCGCCCACCTCGTTCTAAGGACTTCATAAATGAATTCTCTGACTTTTTGGCTGATATCACTCAGAGATACACTCACTTTTTGCTTATTGGTGACTTTAATTTGCATGTGTGTTGTCAGGAGAAGCCCTTAGTGAAGGACTTTCTGGATTTATTGGACTCTTTTGGCTTAGCTCAGCAGGTGAGCGGCCCCACCCAGGAACATGGTCACACGCTGGACCTCGTTTTAACACGTGATGTCTCTGTTTCTAATTTGAAAATCGGTGACAATGTTTTTTCAGATCACATGCCTGTATTGTTTGACTTCACCCCCCCTTGTCATACTGCTAAGACGTGCGTTCCTGCACGTACGCGTTCCATTAACCATTTCACTGCTGCTCGTTTTAATGAAGGTTTTAATTCTGAGAGGATCGAACAGCTCTCGGTGTCTCTTACCACTGAGGAGCTAACCTCTCAGTTCAACTCTGCCTGTTTAGATGTTCTGGACCGTGTTGCTCCCCTTAAGACCAGAAAAACGAAACTTAGATCAGAGCCTTGGCTGAATGACATCACGCGAGCCGTTAGGCGGCAGTGTCGCAAAGCTGAACGAAAGTGGAGGAAGGACAGGCTCCAGGTGTCTTTTCAAATGTTAAGGGAGAGTTGGCGTCACTATCAGAAAACCGTTAAAGCTGCCAAATGTAAATTCTTTTCTGATTTAATTGTCTCCAACTCCCACAACCCCCGAGTTCTTTTCTCCACCCTGAACTCAGTCCTACACCTCAGTGAGCCTTCACCTCTGGAAGCCTCAACTGAGCTGTGTGAGAACATCCTCCATTTCTTTTTAGAAAAAGTGGCAAACACCCGGGCACTCATTTCTCCACCAGCTCATGATCTGTCCATCCCATCTCAGTGCGTGGCTGTGTTTGACCACTTTGAGCCCATCTCTCTGTCCTCTCTGGAGCAGGTAATGTGCAGCATGAAGCCATCTGGTTCCCCCTTTGATGTGGTCCCCCCTCGACTGCTAAAGGAAGTTTTTCCTACCCTGGGTCCTTTTATCCTCACTATTCTGAATAGCAGTTTATCCTCAGGTGTGGTGCCAAAGACTTTTAAACATGCTGCTGTCCAGCCCCTCCTGAAAAAACCTAACCTTGACCCCTCAGTCATGTCCAACTTCCGGCCTGTCTCCAGACTCCCATTCACCTCTAAACTACTGGAAAAAATTGTGGAGTCTCAGTTGAAACAGTTTTTGGGGGATCACGCTATCCTTGAGTTATTCCAATCTGGCTTCAAATCTCTCCATAGCACTGAAACTGCTCTACTGAAGGTTTTTAATGACATTTTCATATCCACAGACGCAGGTGATTCTGTGCTGCTTGTCCTATTGGACCTTACATCTGCTTTTGACACCATCGACCACAATATCTTCATTTCTAGACTGGAGCAGTGGGTGGGCATCACAGGGTCAGCCCTTAAATGGTTTGGGTCCTACCTCTCTGACAGAACCTTCTGTGTCAATATCAAAGATTTCAGTTCGGCATCGACCGCACTCCAGTGGGGGGTACCGCAGGGGTCCATCCTCGGTCCCCTTCTCTTTTCTTTATACCTGCTGCCACTAGGTGCTATCTTCCGCAAACACGACATACCCTTTCATTTCTATGCCGATGATTGCCAAATTTACTTCCCCCTGAGGCACAGAGGCACACGCTCTATTCAGCCTCTTCTTGACTGCCTGGCTGACATCCGGGACTGGATGGCTTTAAACTTCTTAAGCTTCAATGAGAAGAAGTCTGAAGTCATGCTGTTCCATCCCAGTGGCTCACTCATGAACTATGACATTGACCTATTCTCTCTAGCCCCGCTAGAGAAACAAAAGGTGACTAATCTGGGGGTGATAATGGACCCGTCCTTAAAACTCAACAGTCACGTAAACATGATGGTCAAATCCTGTTTTTTTCAGCTGAGACGGCTGTCTAAGCTGAAGCCTATACTCAACAAAAAGAACCTCGAGACAGTGATCCACGCCTTCATAACATCTAGGCTTGATTACTGCAATTCACTTCTGTTTGGAATCAGTCAGTCCTCCATTGCTCGTCTACAACTGGTCCAAAATGCTGCAGCCCGATTTTTAACTGGTACAGGCTATAGAGAGCACATCACGCCAGTTTTGGCCTCCCTGCACTGGCTACCCATTCACCTTCGGATCCATTTCAAAATTCTCATGTATGTTTTTAAATCAC